CTTAGACAAAGGGAAAGGGACACATGGACAGTCCATGCATGTGCCCAGTGACAAAGCAAGGAAATGTTGCAGTCAGAACCCACAAGCACTACAGAGCCTCTCATCTAAGATGCATTCCTCCATTCAAGGAAACAAGCTGCTTTGTCTTTTTCCCACACAGGCTAGGGAGCCAAACAATCCTGCACTTCTCCCACTCTGTGAACTAAATATACAATGCTCATGGAAACATAAATGACACGCTCTGCTGAGGGATGTACAGAGACAAATCCATGAACCTGACCACATGAAGCTCAGAACCTAAATGAAAGGATGATCATTACCCAAGTGATTTTAATAAAATAGTAAAGATAGAAATGCACACCGTCTGCTAATAAATATTAGTGCCTACACATTCTAAGACATATAACAGGCTCTCAAAAGCAAAGTTAAATGAGAGTCTTCAAATGGACTGTCTAGTCTCTTGGAAGAGTCTCAACTGGGAAATGGGAATGAACATATCAGAGTTTCCTGTAAATTAGAGGAACGGATGGGAACCTGGATACCTGGCCAATAAGAATGTGGAAAACCAGTTTAGATAAAAGTTTGTCAAGAAAGCATCTAAAGTGTTTGGGCACACCATGCATGACTAGCCACCCAAGCAGTGGTAGGAAAATTAATAGAGTGAAGTGCAAAAACAGAGAAATGTGCAAGGGGGAAATACTGGTGAACTGTTGGCTAGCTGTTTCTTTGCAGATGATCTGAGTGTGAGAGCTGAGAGTGGGTGAATCAAAGGGGGCAAGAAGAAAGAAAAGAGAAAAGGAGATCACTTAACCTTTCCTAAATCCTAAAGCTTGGAGCCTTACACTTGAGCTTAGAGCCAATATTTCTGAAAGCAGTTCTGGCTGATGCATGGAATGATTGCTTCTGCTTCCTCCTACACATCTCACTGGTCTCAGACGCTGTTACGGAAGACAGAGGTTCCAATAAAAAGGCTGTTACAGCAAGTCAGGGGAGGGGGAGGGTCAAAACTTCAAAATGGCCATGGGCCTATTAGAGAAATCAAAGACAGTAGTTCATTGGTCCTTGCTGAATAATAATTTGCTCAGGACCCATTGATGAAATCTTATTAGCTACTGATCCTGCTTAGGAAAATAGCTTCCACAGAGTGTGAACACTTTAGCCCCTCCTCTTCTCCCTGACCGTCGCATATTGTCCTCTTCCATTCCTCCATCCCTCCATCCCTTCCCTTATCCTCTCTGCTGCCTTCCTCACCACTCTGCCTTCTTTCCTAGGCAATTATACACTTGTGAGAGTTAGGAAATCTGCCAGACAGAAAATGATTTGGGATTAACAATATGAGTCACCTCCCCTTTGCCCAGATTATAAAGAATATTCCAGAATATGAAGATTTGGTCTGATATTGTATGATTTTGTAAGACTTACATTGACAAATGTATTCAATAATGTTACTTTCCTATATGCTTCTATTATCTCCTAGTGAACAGAAAAAGGAAGTAAAGGCAACAAACAGTAAACTTTTGAAACACTAAAATTTGACAAGTGCAATGATTTTCTCTTCCTTTTGTCATGCCCATCTTGTTTTACTAAGGTGCTCTGGCAGACAGGGCCTATTGGTTGCTATACTGAGCCTCAGACAGAGGGGTTAGGCAGATAGATTTGAAAGCTGCTTTCCTAGTCCCTGTTTTCATAAGGTCTGACCTGAAATTATATTTTAGGATATCATTAAGTCTTATGAAGAATGGCTTGTTTTCTATTTTAATTCATCTATTTTAATTCATTCTTAACATTTTGCTAAAGATGACTGTATCTCTTCAGGGGTGTAAACCATAATAATATGCTTTAAGGAATATATATATATATATATGTATATATATAATTACATATATACATATATACATAAGTATACACACACACATACATACATACATACATACATACATATATATATATATATATATATATATATATATATAATTACAATCAGTTTGCAGAAACATCCTCCTATGGATCTGTTTTTTTTAAAACAATTCCATTCTGATTTGTAAAGTCTGGTTAGATTAAATGAAATAGTTCCCGCTTATTATCACTCTAAAAGGTAAGTGACAGGAATTCTTGAAGATGAGAACCAAGTAAATAAGGGTTATCTGAGGAAGAGAAAGAATTGAGTCCATGGGAAGTTACACTATTCATGAACTGTTCATGAATTCAGAAGACACAGGGAAATGCAGAATAACCACCAACAGAGAATACAGAGATGGCGTCTCCAATAATCTTGCAAAGGTGTTGCTCATTTTATAACTCTAGTTTTATTCTTAACAGTTCTAGAAGCACCTTGAAATTGTATGCTCACACAAAAAGTGTTAAAGTCTCTTCCAAGTCAGTAGACTTGGCAGGAGGATTGGGGACAGGGACAACAGTGGACCTGTAGCTTAAATAATTTTCTGACAGAACAGATCTACACAATAGCAGCCCATTGGTGTCTGTGGCTAAACAGAGGAAACCCAAGCTGTCTAAAATTCATAATTCACTGTACTGTGTGGTGTCAGCAAAGTAAACATGACTTTTAAAAAATATGAGCAAAATTGTCATTACTCAGGAACATCCTAACAAAGCATTTTACTACAAAGTATAATTTTCAGTTTTTGGAGTGAATTTTCATGAACAACTAACTTGTTCTATGCATTTTCAGAAGCTGGAAGAGAAATACTATTTTGAAAGTCACTATGTTTGCCCTGGGTTATCAGGGCTGCAAATGCTGGTATTCTTCCAGAACTTGCATGTCTGCTTTGCACTGCTTATCCATATTCATGAGTATACCCTCTGCTTCGTAGTTTGCATTAGTAGATGACTATGACTCTATTAATCACTCACTGGATACAGAAATGTTATGAAAAGCTGGGTTTCTACAACACAAAATGTCCATACTATTGGGATAAAATGGAATCTTCTCCTTTCATTCAAGAAGTCCATTTTAATATAGCACTGGAAAAATAGAATTCAATATTGACTTGAAGCCAAACAAGGAATGGTGGCACACACCTGTGATGCTGGCACGTGAGAGTTAGCCAGCCTAACAAGGACCTCAACTTTCAGGCTAGCCTAAGCTACATAGTAAGACCCTTCTCAAACAGAAAACCAAAATGTATCTTTGGAACAAAAATGTTGTGTGTCTATTACCATTACTGCTCTATCTAAGTATATTCTAGCTGTAGTAGCAGCTACTACATTAACCAACCAATATATAAAAGAAAAGACAAAGATTAAACCAATACTACAAACCACCAGGATGAAAGCATTGAGCATCTCAAAGCATAGCCATACTTAGCATGTATAACTTCACGATTTATGCAAGACATATCCACCCAGTTTCAAAACCTCGTCATCAATGTAGAAGCCATCAGTCTTCCTCTCCACTGGGCAGTATACCTCTTCCATCAAGAGCACGTGAAGATGCCCTTTGTAAAGGAAGCCTTACAAAGTCACCTGAGAAGACATTTGTCTCCTGTTGTCAGGGATGCTCCACCAAGTTTTCATAGTTTACATGAATTATGATGAATCCATACATTAGATCCAAACATTACCCTGCTCATGGACATTTTTATCTGAGTAAGAAGTGTTTATGAGAAATATCTTCACTGTCTTCACTTGGCAGCTATGTGATGACACTGGCAACATAGCTTTTGTTCAAATATAATGAATGGGCTTTTGGAAATAATGCACACACAGAAAGGGTGGCTGGGTGAATCAAGGAATTTCTTGCACCTCATTTTAAAACATCTTTTCTAATCTTAACATATACCTCCTCTAGGAAGAAGTTTGTAGTTTCTTTTTTCTGTTTTAACTATTTGCCACCCAGCTCCCAAATAAGTACACAGAGATTTATTCTTACTTATGAATGCCCAGCCTTAACTTGGCTTGTTTCTAGCCAGCTTTTCTAACTTAAATTATCTGGTTCCTCTTTAACTACATTTTGCCTCTGGGCTTCTTACCTTTATTCTACATATCTTTCTTTCTCTGTGGCTGGCTGTGTGGCTGGGTAGCTGGCCCTGATGTCCTCTCCTTCTCTTTTTCTCACTTCTTACCCCTTTTCCCTATATTTCTTCTATTTAGTCTCTCTGCCCAACAGCCCTGCTTTTTTTCTCTCTCTTGCCTAGCTATTGCCCATTCAGCTTTTATTAGACCAATCAGGTGTTTTAGGCAGACAAAGTAACAGTTTTACAAAGTTCAACAAATGCAATATAAAAGAATGCAACACATCTTTGCATCATTAAACAAATATTCTACAGCACAGATGAATGTAATACATCTTAAATTAATATTCCACATCAGAAACCTCTCTCTCTTTTTTGTGCATGTATATGGTATATATTTCCATGTTTGTATCTGTGGATGCATGTGTGTGTATTCATATATGAGGAGGCCTGAGTATGACTTTCTCAATCAATCTCCACCTTATATATGAGGCAGGGTCTCTCACATTTCACATTACCCTGGGCTCACCAACTCAGTTAATGTAGCCTGTTAGCTTGCTTTAGAATTCCATCTCCATGTTTAGCATATTGGTGTTACAGGTGGGCTGCCATTCCCATCAACAGTTATGTGGATCCTGGGAATTCAAGCTGTTGTTTCCTGCCTACACAGCAAGCACTTTCTGTTGAGCTATCTCCACAGTCTGATTTACGTTTTTGAAAGTAAATATTCCCATATATATGTAATATATATATTATATATATGAAATTATACACATGAATTATTTTATGTCTCTGCTTTTCAGAGCTAATGGACTGAAAAAGTTCTCTCAGAACACATAATTCTGTCTAATCTCTGACATATACTCTAACAACAAAAACTATATGTTGCATTATTACACATATGATGACCACAACAGGAACAATTACCATTCTAAACACTTAGCAAGGTTTGGGGGACAAAGCTCAGTGGTAAAACACTTATGGAACATGCAGAGCTCACTTGAGAAAGATGGATCCATATTCACTTACTTGTCTCCGAAAAACTTCCTCCAGAATTCAGCAGCATCTGCTTTTGTGATCCGGAAGTTATCTCCTTGGAACTGGCCATTGGGAAAGATTGCCTTAATTTCTGCCAGCATGTGACTGAAGATAAGGGACAATTTTGTGAGATTCCGTCTGTACAAGGGGAAAAAAAATGAAGAGAGGTAAATAGATGCATGCAACCTTTAATGAAAATTTAGGTTAAGCCATGTAAATTCTGTTTATATCAATCTGAGTCTTAGGAATCAGTCATGAACCTAAAAATAAGTTGGTCTCAACCTGAAAATCCAACTAAAATAATGTTCACTGCACAATTACATTCCTAACAGGTTTTTATTGATCCTTTACCTATATATTCATTTAACAGAAACATATACAGGAAAAATTGTGTAATTTCATTCATTAAGCTCACAGTTTAATGAAAAAGATAAAGTCATGGATGGCATACACAACTACAAATGCCAAACACAAATGAGAGGGGGCTATTGCTACCCAGAGAAGGGGAAAATATGCCACTAGAGGGGAGTCCAGGAAGATATGTAATTGCATGGCACACGAATATCCTGAGGAAGAGGAGAGGGTGGGAGAGGAGAGGAGAGGATAGGGGAGGAGAGGAGAGGAGAGGGTGCTGAAAGCATCACAAGCAAAGCTTTCAGAGGATGCTTATCACTTTGGTTCTCTGGAGCTCGGTAAAGGGAAAGATGTGACAGGAAATGGGATGAGAGCACATTCATTTGTACTAGACATGAAGGAAACCAAATGAATGAGCCAAAGTGTCTCTGAATTCACTGGCCTCATCTACCTACAAAGAAGATGTCTTTGTGAAGGGGTTGAAAACAAACATTTGCAGACTTCCCTGGGTCATTCTAACATATTTCCCTCATTATGAGGGAATGTGAAGGAGAGCCGAAACAGGTAGAACGAAATGTCTCAAAAGTATGATGTGGCAACAGGATGAGAAGAGATGAGTAAGCAAGAAATTAATGCTGGGATTCTCCATTCTAATTCCCACATTTTGGGGGGATTCCAATGTAATTTAAAATATATTTTATAGGCCAAAGCAGCACTACCACCTGCAACTACTCTCAAAGTTATGTCATTAACTTTATGACATAAACTATGTTGAAAGGTCCTCAATGCCAGTGCAAGATAATGACAAAGCTACTGAACGAAACACAAAATGTTAAACAAAATTATTTTAAAGTAAGTTTAATTTGATTTTACATTCTTTTTAACTCACAACTACCAGCCAGAACTCAACCAACATACACCACACCACCCCCACACACACACACACCGTAAAACTTCCTTCTACTTTGAGGCTTTAAACCACTTTGAGTGCATACATGAAATACACATGAAATATAGAGAGTGATTTAACTTGGAATATGTAAAACCTTGTATTTACCAATGTCTTTGTCACTAAAAATCATGCTTCTTTGCCTATTTTTTCCTCTTAAATCTTACTTAATAACAACAGAAAAACAAGAACAACAACAACAAAAAACAAAGAACAAAAAACATGCTTAGAAGAGATAGTGTAACATGAACCCATGGGCGGTTTGCTTCCTAAAACACTTTTGAAGATACATAAGATGAACAGAGAAAAATATAGATATTCAAGAAGTGACAGAGTAAAAATAAAAAGGAAACAATAGGCATACACACAGTTGTCATAATATACTCATCCTTAAGAAAAGTGCCAAGTAGTCTCATAACACACATTATCTATGAAGTTTCATTTCGAAGGAGTCAGAAGTTAGCAATCTGCAGATTCACTATCACTGTCCACAACTCTTCATTTCCTGAAATGCATCCACACTGGTGCTCAACACAACCTCATTCAAGAGCAAATATGATACTCAGCAGAATCTTTAAGATTGAGCTGGCTGTCCCATGTCTGCCCACCCATCCAGATTAAAATGACAGCAGGTGTTAAGACATGGATTCTAGGAGATGAAAAGCAAAATGTTCTGTTCTATAAAAGTATCCAAGTGTGCTCAACCTCAACTGTAAAAACCGTCAAGATCCATGCTTAGAGAAAAGAGCAACCTTAGAAAACCTGCAGTGAATTAAATCATCTTATTAGATGAGTGGGTTAGTTTTCCACCAATCCTCCAGCTGACACATAAGAAGGAAAAAGAGACATGAATATGGTTATAATTAAGATAAATCAACTGTTCCTTATTTTCTAAAATGCTTGCCTCCATTCCCTTGTGTCTTTGTTCTTTAATCCTATCCAAATGTTTTTAATTTCCCCTTGCTAGGTGTAGGCATAAAGTTGGTGATTACTAATTTTGGCTATATGAGCCACAGGAGACGGAAGAGACATTCAACATGTAAAATAGAAACATGAACACTGTATAATTTTAAAACTACGGGCTCTAATGGTCACTAGTACATACATGAATAACTACTCCTTGTTTCTTTGTGTGCATAGATCCATTGTTTTTTAAACCTGCAAATGGTTCAATAAATTTTGTCAGTCTTGTTTTAAATGACCTGAGATAAAGAAAAAAAAAAAATACACTTGACCTGTGTTTTTTAAAGAAACTCCTACTTGTCTTGTTAAAGGTATCTGGAGCCACTAGTGCCATGGTCTCTTAATTTCCATATAATCCAGAATTTTATTATATTTAAACATACCCTACAAATATGTAAATGACCATTTTGGGAACTTATTGCCAAAAAAATTGATTTGTGAGGCTTATAATTCAATAAGGTTAATTAAATCTTTTATTACTATTTAAATTTATTGACACAATATACCCACCATACTCTCTATTATAGACCTCTAGCTGTTAGTAACATCCTAACTTCCAATAAATTACAAAGTTACATTTACTTCTAAGCATCTAATACTGGGGAAGAAAAAAGCCTCCCTAAGCATGTTCTCTGAGGCTGAGATACTTGTTCCTATCATACAAACATTCCAGTGAGGCAGCTTTTCCTAAAGCCACCTGATTTGCCATCATATGATCAGAAATAATGACTAATTAACACTGGCTTTCATGATTACTAATTACAAGCTCTCCTACCCCACCTCACACACAAAAAAAAAATCTGTTCAAAAAGACCACAATATAATGGTATTACAAATATAATTCTAAGGTCACTTACAAAGAATTTTGCATTATGAATTCTTTCATTTACAAGAAAATGTCCTCAATACTATTTATCTTCCATTACCCATTAAAATATGAGCCAAGAACTTTTTCGTGTGTGTGTGTGTGTGTGTGTGTGTGTGTGTGTGTGTGTGTGTGTGTGTGTGTTTCTGAGTAAAGGTATTTTGAAATACCAATCAGAAAGTAGATATTAGTTCTGAATAGAACTACTGAAGATATCAACATTGCAGGAGGCTGAAAAGGAGGGAAGGTGTAAAAATAAATGAACAAACAAGAAAAGGAAAGTAAAGGCAGTTTTACTGTTTTTTTGAAAACTGTGCCCAATTCATCCATAACATCAAGGTCATCAGTTAAGCTGCAGGACACCCTTCTGTTCTAGATTCAGTCTCCAACAGTGTATCCCTTTTCAATGGTGTGAATCAAGTTCTCTGAAACTTAAGGAAAGTTGTGGAAGGTGAATCAAAAATATACAGCTGAATTGGAATGAATAAATGGCTTAAATTGATATCACTTCATTGTTTATGAATAAGTCCAAGTAGTTTAGATGGCTCTAGCCAATATCATGAAGGACAAAGAATAAATACAGTTTGATTCTGGGATTAAAAAAAAAAAACACACACACACACACAAAGAGGACATTACAATAAAACATACCAGGGCGGGGTGAGGTAGTACATCCTAATCATGGCCATTAAGACTTGACTATGTAATGTTGAAAATTAATCAATAACCACTTTTTTCATTTATGGCATCCACTGAACATGAGAGATGTACAATGCATATGATCTAGTGAGATTACATGTTGTTGGATCGTCTGTCCCATCGGAGAAATAGCTGTCATAATGCAAGGAGGAAATAAAACCTAAATTAGGCAAACACTTTAAAAGACATTTAATTAGTGAAGTTCAAACTTCAGGAGAACGTGCTCCTCTGGGTAGAAGAAACGGGGGATCAGATTTTATCAAAAACTATTAATAATTCAATTCTCACATTCCAAGGGGGAAACAAAGTGAACACAAGCCCAAGCAGCACAGAAAACATATAAATATAGGCACTCAGAAGGAAACTCATGGCCAGCTGAGGAGTAATTTCTACTGAATCTGTGACTTAGTGCCTCCAAGACAGGCTTAGAGGGGTTCCACCTGTTGTTGACCTTCGGTACTCTCATTCCCAAGGGAGCAGGGAGACATGGCTGACGTCAGCCATGGCTTTCATTCCTTCCTCCTCAGAACAGTCTATTATTAAGAAGAGACCAGACTGTCTGAAATAAGACTGATTATTACTCATTCCTCTGCCCAAATACTAAAAGCTGTCAAGACCTCTAAGGGGACTGAAGGTTGGTGGCTTTGGTTCTAGTCACAGCACCAGAAGAAAAAAAAGCAGAAGAGTCCAGCAACTGTTTACCACTGAAGATGTAGTGTTTACTTCAAGCCATAAGACAAGTGAGGAGTGTGCCCAGAAACAACTTAGACTGGAACAAAGGCATTAGGACCATCTTCAGTCTATCTACATCAACGAGCTTCCTGGGAACTGAGGGCTGATGGCTGACTTGGGAGTGGAAGCAGACCAGGCAGAAGGGGATGAGGATACAGAAGAGAGTGGGGATGAAAACAAAGTGTAATGATAAGTGGGAAATCGTCACAACAAATTTCATTCTTTTGTATGCTTATTAAAATACTAACCCATTAAATATGAAAACTGATTAGAAACTTTAAAAGAAAATAACTAAATCAACCTAGAAGATTGCTACAACAAAAGCCAAGCTCCAATTTCTAGAGCCTGAATCTGGGCACTGGGCATCCTTAGACCTCTACATAGCATTCTCTTCTATGTGTGATATACAAGTTTCCACCATTAAGGTAAAGGCTATCAAAGCAAGGATTCTGCTCAGGAGGAAAGCTACAAATGGACACTTCATGATCATTCTACTCAGAAACACTCAAAAATTAAATTATGCTGTTATGTTCAAAACTAATATACTTAAACGAGTTTTTAAAAGACATTTGAATA